TTGCTGGTGCAAATGTAAAATAGTGCAGACAGTCTGACAGTTTCTCAAAAGGCTAAACATAGAGCTACCATATAACCCAGCATTTCTCCTTCTTGGTATACAACCACCAAGATAACTGAAAACAAATGCCCACATACAGACTTGGACATGAATGATCATAGTAACAATGCTTTATAAAGCCAAAAGAGAGAAACAATTCAAACATACAACTCATAAATGGATAACTAAAATGTGATATATCCATGTAACAGAATATTATTCAGCCATAAAAAGGAATGAAGTACTGAAACATGCTGGAATGAGGACAAATCTTAACAACATTATGCTAAGTGAAAGAAGCCAGTAACAAAAGGCCACGTAATATATAATTTCATTTATATGAAATGTCCAGAATAGGCAAACCCATGGAATAGAAAGTAGATTAATGGTTCCCAAGAGCCTTGGGCAAAAAGGGACAGGGAATGGCTGCTAATGAGTATGCAGTTTCTTTGTGTGGTGTTAAATATTACTTAATATTAGATGGTTTGTGATGGTTGCCCAGCTCTATGAATTATATAAAAATCACTAAATTGTATACATTAGAAACATGAATTTTCTGATTTGTGAATTATATCTCAATAAATCTATTTTTAAAAAATACATAATTTGTGTGAAAGAAAAACTCTGAATACATGAGATACAAGGAAGCAGAGAAAATCATTAAAGAAAGTCTTTGATAACTGAGAAGTGACTGGTGGTTACCATGGGGGAGGGGTTAGGATGGGTAGGTAAAAGAGATAATGAGGCACAAAATCTAAATCATAATGTAAGTTGGTTGCAGGGATGAAATGATTCTGTAAAATCTTTCTATGTTGACAGATAGTAACTGCATTAGTTGGGGTGAGGATTTAATGTGAGTAACTGTTGAATCACTGTGTTGTATACTTGAAAACAATATAATACTGTAGTCAACTATATTTCAATAAAAAAGAGAAGAAAAAAATGAAGTTTTTGATGTTAACTAATGCAAATAGTGAAATTTATAAGGAATTGTGTATTCTTCCATCCAATTCACAAATTATTCTTTTACTCTGTATATTAATAAATCAAAAGCAATTATATTACAATGTACTACCCATAAGTAATTATGCTATCCATTGCATGTTCTCATTACAATTATTTATTTCCATTAGGTATAAGGCAACTGAACTATTTTTACCTACCATGATTCCCACACCTTATCACTTTAGTAAAGATCTGTCCCAACAAAAACATGTAAAACTAATGTTAATAGAAGAAATCCATGCAGGAATGCATTTTCAAAGAATAACAAAGATGGCACTTGACAAAATGTTAGTTACTGGGAATACCTGTTATATCTGGCACATTTATTTACTCATTTAAAATTGTCATTTACATTTTTCCACCAGCATATGAGACACTCAATTTTATCAATCACTCTAAGTTGCTTGGAATTTTAAAATACTCCATGGCCAAGTAAGTTTTATTTAAAAATCAAATTTTAATATAGTGAAAAATGTTAAATGAATTCGCAGCCATCACTGCAATTCTAATTGCATACTTTAAATACTGAAGAAGATTATGCTAAATTATATGGAACCAACTAGTGTTCACTGTTTAGGCTATCCATTAGCTGTCAGTCAAACTAAGAACAGCAATCTCTCCTCCAATTTCCCTGGTGCAGCTGTTTATAGAATATCCTGGGCGTATTCACTTCAACAGAGACATAATAATGCAGACATCCACAATGAAAGCTGTATTTTTTTGTTTTCAAGTTTTCCTATAGACTGTGTATTTTTTATACCTTGCATATTCAGTCAGATTTTTAAACCAAATGTTTTAAATAATCAGTAAATAAACTTAATTGCTATATTGTATCTTTAAATTTAAATCTACACTCTGAAGACCAAATCTAGGAGGACAAATCAAGAAAAAAGGTAAATAGAAAAAAACTCCAAACACAAAAATCCTCTGTTCTTTTTGAAGTGCAAAATAAAAAATCTCCACTAGAGATTGGTCATGTCTTTACAGGCATAGCTCAGAGATACTGCAGGTTTGGTTCCAGACCTCCCCAATGAAGCAAATAACACAATGAAGTGGATATTACAAGAAAGCAAGTCAAATGAATTTCTTGCTTTCCCAATGCATATAAAAGTCAGGTTTACACTATACTGTAGTCAATAGTGTGCAATAGCATATGTCTAAAAATATATACATATGTTAACTTTAAAATACTTATTGCTAAAAAATGCTAACCATCACCTGAGTTTTCAGCAAGTTATCATTTTTTGCTGGTGGAGTATCTTGCTTCCATGGTTCTGGCTGCTGACTGCTCAGGGTGGTGGTTGCTGAAGGCTGGGGTGGCTGTGGCAATTTCTTAAAACAACAATGAAGTTTGCCACACTGATAGACTCTTCCTTTCGTGACTGGTTTCTCTGGAGCATGTTATGCTGTTTGATAGCATTTCACCCATCGTGGAACATCTTTCAAAGCTGGAGTCAGTCCTCTCAAACTCCGCTGCTGCTTTATCAACTCAGTTTATGTAGTAGTCTAAACCATTTGTTGTCATTTCAACAATCTTCACAGCATCTTCAGTAGGAATTGATAGCATCTCAAGAAACCACTTTCTTTGCTCATCCATAAGAAGGAAATCCTCATCCATTCAAGTTTTACCATGAGATTGCAGCCATTCAGTCACATTTCCTGGCTCCACTTGTATTACTAATTCTCTGTTTTTGCTACATCTACAGTTACTTCCTCCTCAGAGTCTTGAACACCTAAAAGTCATCCATGAAGGCTGAAATTAACTTCTTCCAAAGTCTGTTAATATTGACAATTTTGAGCTCTCTCCACGAATCCCAAATGTTCTTAATGGCATCTAGAATAGTGACTACTTACCAGGTTTTCAGCTTACTTTGGCCAGATCCATCAAAGGAATCCATGGCAGCTATAGCCTTAATGAAATGTATTTCTTAAATAATAAGACTTGCAAGTCAGAATTACTCCTTAATCCATGGGCTGCAGAATGGCTGTTGTGTAAGCAGACATGCAAACACATTACTCTTGCTGCACTTCTCCACCAGAGCTGTTGGGTGAGCAGGTGTGTTGCCAATGAGCAGTAGAGTTTTGAAAGGAATCTTTTTTCTGAGCAGTCAGTCTCAACAGTGGGCCTGACATATGCAGTAAACCATATTGTAAACAGATATGCTGTCATCCAGGCTTTGTTGTTCCATATATGGAGAACAGGTAGAGTAGACTTGGCATAATTCTTAAGGGCCCTAGGGTTTTCAGAATGGTCAATGAACACTGGCTTCAACTTCAAGTCACCAGCTGCATTACCTGCTAACAAGAGAGCCAGCCTGTCCTTTGAAGCTTTGAAGGCAGGCTTTGACTTCTCCTTTCTAGGTATGGAAGTCCAAGGTGGCAAGTTCTTCTGATACAAGGCTGTTTTGTTTACATTGAAAATCCACTGTTCAGTGCAGCCACCTTCAAGAGTTGCCTTAGCCAGATCTTCTGGATAACTTGTTGCAGCTTCTGCATCAGCACTTGCTGCTTCACCTGCACTTAGATGTGTTTTGGAGACAGCTTCCTTCCTAAAATCTTAAGAACCAACCTCTGCTAGCTTCAAACTTTTCTTAGAATCAAAGATAGTTAGGGCCTTGCTCTGGATGAGGCTTTGGCTTTAAGGAATGTGGTGGCTGGTTTGGTCTTCTATCCAGACCACTAAACCTTTCTCCAGATCAGCAGTAAGGCTGTTCCACTTTCTTTTCATCCATGGGTTAACCAGAGCAGCACTTTTAATATCCTTCAAGAACTCTTCCTTTGCATTCACAACCTGTCTAACTGGTGCAGAGGCCTAGCTTTCAGCCTGCCTCGGTTGTTGACATGTCTTCCTCGCTAAGCTTAACCATTTCTAGCTTTTGATTTAAAGTGAGAGATGTGCAACTCTTCCTTTCACTTGAACACTTTAGAGCCCATCGTAGGGTTATTAACTGGCCTAATTTCAATATTGTTGTGTCTCGGGGAATGGGGAGGCCCGAGAACACAGAGAGAGATGGGAATGGCAGGTTGTTAGAGCAATCAGAACATGCATAACACTTATGGATTAACTTTGGTGTGTGTTTGTGATACCCGAAAACAGTTACAGTAGCCTTAAAGATCACCAATCACAGATCACCGTAACGAACTTAACAATAATGAAAAAGTTGAAATATTGTGAGAATTTCCAAAATGTGAGACAAACATGAAGTGAGCAAATGCTTTTTGAAAATGGCACCAATAGACTTACTTGACACAGGATTGCCACAAATTTTCAATTTGTAAAGAAAGCACTATTTGTGAGCACAGTAAAGCCAAGTATGCAATTAAAGAGCAATAGAATGAGGTATGTCTGTACATTTTCTTCACCAAGGAATGCCTATGTGACATTTATACTGACTTTTCTATAATGATCTTTGAAAATTAAATAAATATAATTTCATCAGAACTAACCAATCTGAGTATTTACCATTTCTAAGTACATGACTCAAGCATTTCTGTTACTCAGTGCAGAGAATACATACACAATATAATTTTTTTGTAATACTTTATGCTAATAATTCAGTCTTTTATAATATTAATTTTAAGAGCTAGACTTGTTGATCTGATTTGGTGGATGCTAGTATTTTGGATTTCATGAGATGTTAAAATAAAAAAAATTAAGAAGATCCCAAAATGCCAAGGAAGAACATTATATTATAAATGAAAGGATATTTTAAAACTAGAAAGATAGGAAGGACATAAATCTGGAATAAAGGACATACTTTAGACTGGTAAGATTAAGCATTAGGAAATCCTTATGCCAGTTTGCTTATTTTTCTCATTTTGACAAATACTAGTAAAACTCTGACACAGGCTAGTCAATGGGAACCATTGCTGTGTATGCCATAGGTCTACAAACATTGTTTAGGTCAACTCTGTGACCATATAAATTCAATGAAACTTGAAAATCATCAACTTACAATTCCTGCCTAAGCCTTCTTATCTTGGCTTTAGCATCTGCCAGTTCCACTGACAGACGTTGTCGACTTTCTGTTTGCTTCATGCCTGGAGAACCACAGGGTGACTGTACAGATAAAGAGGCATGGGATAGAAAGTGAAGACCATCTTGCTCTTCAGAGAGTTCTATGATAGTCTAAGGAAATACAGAAATAAACACAGATTCACTTTTAGTATTCTAGGTTATGAGAACAGCAACATGATTCACTGCATGTAGTACAATATGAAAAACGACTCATTGGTCAAAAAATATCTTAACTTTGTCGTATGTAGCTCTCATTTTTAAAAGTTTCATTCAACAGTTCATGGATAAGCTATTTAGTTGATAATACTAGAAGACAACTTACTATTTTTTTCCTTCCTAGTTCTTTTAAGAAATCAACTGTGATAAAAGTAACTATTCCGATAGCAATGTTGGAAAGGCATAGAAAAATGACATGGAAAAAAAAAATTAACCCAAGAGTGATATGTCTACAACTGTGCTGGCCAATATTGTAGCCAATAGCACAAGCAGCTATTTAATTAAAATCTTTTCAAGTTAAAAACAAGGTTCCCTTGTCATACTAGCCACCTTTCAAGTGCACAATGGCCATATATAACAAGTGGTTACCGTACTGCACAGAACAGAAATACAATCTGGCCATCACTGCAGAACTGGACAATGCTCTAGAACTGACCTAACAGGGGCCTGACAGGGACCTAATAGGACCCCAGAAGTTTAGTTCAATTTCTTAATTCTCCAAGTAAGGTAACTGAGTCACAGAAATTGATTTGCTTATGATCACACAAGCTAGTAGCAAGCAATGCCAAGACTCCAGGCTAGTCTCCTGCTTTCCTCTTACAGTACTGGTCCAATCTGCTTCCCATGTCAATGCTACTTTCATTTCTTTGTCTAAAGACCCTCTATAGGACACAAATCTCCTTCTACTTATCCTAGACCTGAACTTTAAAGGGCTATTTAACCTACATGTACTTCATTCAATCATATTCTCCTCTAATTTTCCTCTTTTTGAAAACTCTATTCTAAACTAATTTCTCAAGTTTTCTTTCAAACTTCTCAGGCAAACAGAAATTGTCTTCAATTGCAACTTCAACTGTCCTATTCCAGAATGGGTGGGAATACCACCTTGGGACCATGAAATCACAAGCCTCACTTAGTTTCTCATTACCAGGTCTTATAATGCCCTCACTGAATCATTACTTTTCTTTTTTTTAACCACTCATCACAATTCATTTCTTTATCCTTTGGATTTTTTTTTTCAGCACCTGAATCAAGGTCTGTCCAACTATTGCTTTTACAGATTCCAGTATGCCTATTAAACCACAGAGTGTGGCTTCCCAGTCCCATTTCTCTCTACAACTCCACATTCACTCGCTATTGAATAAATAGAGGTTTCTCCATGAGAGACCCATTCCCCTTTTGTGCCATGTTTCCTACTAGCATTACTCCTAAGTCAATGTATCTATCCTAAACTTTTAATCACTCAATTCCCTGCTTTTTGCCCACTCAAAAAGATTATTCTTTTACTCTAGAGTTCCTACTTAGCCTGGAACTACAATTTAGCCCTTAAGCGTCACCCTTACTTTTGAATTTAATACTATTATTCCATTCTTTGACTCTGAATCACATTGGGGAACAAAGAAAAGGGAATGAATATTTAGAGAACTTTTAGCTAGGGGATTTTCCCTTAAGAGCTCATTCAGTGTTATAATCTGCAATAGAGATATTATGTCTGTACATATAAGGAAACTGAGGTTCATACAGATTAAATAACCAAAGACACATATCTAATGGTAGTTAACAGGAATTCAAATTAAAGTTTGACTAAAACACTATGTCATTTTTCTATCATTAGTTTTTCTATTCCTGCTCCAAGGTGATAAAGAACTCTATAAGAAAAACAAAAACAAAAAAATACACAGCATTGATACAGATCATGACATCCATTTTCAAGTACGTTCTTTGTAATGCCCATCAATTGTTTTATTGGAAATCTTGCTCAATTCCTGGCAAATGTCCTTATCCAGCATAGTAGTGGGTACAAAAACAGTTGTTCATAATTATTTAACTAAATAATTCACAAAATGGAAAACTCAAGAGAAGTACTGAAGACACATAGTCCATTTGAACTTAGTTAAGTAGTGAAACAGAGATATCAAGAGCTTCCAGGTGCCAACAGAATACAAAAGAACTATGGACAGCAAACTACTTTTTAAAAATAAAAAAAGAAAGAAACTTGGTACTAAGAATTAAGAATATTCAGAAGTATTTTCAACTAAGATTACACAGTATTTTGACTTCTGATGGTGAGTTTCTTGAGCTCAAAGCTTCCAAACATTTTCAAAAAAATCTGAGAGGAAATGGTATTAAAGCATAACTTTAATTTCATAAGTCGCCTCTCGTCCTTCTGGCCCTAGACATTCTACTATCAGTTGCAAATAACATTTTCTTTCTTTAAATTCCTACAGTACTTAGACAGATGTCTCATTTGGTAATTATCACTTTAAAAATTTTATTACAGTTAATTATTTTATTAAAATAACTTCCCTATTTGATTGTAACAATCTATGCTTCTTTTTGAAAGTTAGTTTGTTGCTCCAATGTACTCTTAGTACAAGCCCTTGCAAAAAGCAGGGGCTTACTAATATATTAGAATGAACACAAAAAAGATATATCAAGGCTGAGAACAGAATTCAGGTGATGTAATAATTCTACTTAAAGCACTCATCATTAAGGAAAATAATCAAAGATATGTTTTAGGTAAAGGTGGATTTAGGCAAAGGTATTATAATGGTTAGGAACACAAGCATTGGAATTAGACTCGGCAAGTTATTTAACTTCTCTGAGTTTGAATATCCTCATCTATAAAATGGGGCTATTGCATAGAATTGATAAGATAGTATTGGATAAACTTGTAACACAAAGCTTGGCAAAAAAATAAACAGCAATAATAAAGAGATCTTAAATTTATTAAGCTCTCCTATTTGGTTCTTAATAAAAAGAGATGATTAAAAAGATACTTGTTCTACAGCAGTAAGAATAAAAAAGTGAGGAGTAATTAAAAACAGGGTGACCAAACTATACTTTCTAGATTGAAGTGAGACAATTAAGACAAAAGATCAATTAGAACAGAAAAAAAAGGGCTCTCTGTTCTAAACAGAGAAAGCATCCCCAGTGGGCAGCTTGCAGTTGCCAATACTGACTGAAAAGTGATGTCTCACTCATGCCATGCCCACAAATGTAGGGTGCTTAAGTGCATAGATGGTGCCTATTTTAACCCCAGTGTGAGACTACTATTGCTCACCAGGGTACACATTATAGGTTTGTATAGAGTATGGAATAGATCTTCAATATTTATTTGTTGAAATATATTTAAGTGGAAGCAGTCATGTGTACGGATAGGGTGGAGTTGTCGACCAGTCTCTTGTGTTCATATGGAACCTCCTAGAATCAAATGCCCAAGTGTGAAGGATGCACACTGATGCAACCAAATAAACTGACAGTCCATGTGTCCAGGGAGACTCCTGAGGGAAGAAACACATCAGACATTTTAACTGATGTTATTCTAAAAGGCATCCTCCCAGACTTGAATTTTCAAGGAGACTACAAGATCCAGTACACAGTTCATAACAGGGCCAAGAAGAGGGGCATTTGCAAGTAAGACACACTAGCAGAAACTCAACTCTCCAGAGAATGGTTACATAAAGTGCCCCAGCAACAGCCATAATTACAGACCCACCTGTGGGTCCTACTGCTACAGACCTTCTGCATTATTGGCTATGAACTACAGGGTATCCCTGACCAAGTCTGTCAGTCCAACCTGGCCTGGTCTGGCACAGAGCCCACATGTAAAGCCATGAATGTCAATCTGGGTGCCAGAATAGCAGTTTTGTGACTCCTGGATCAGTTTTATCAGAAAAGGAGAGTCCTCACGGTGTCCACACCCATAGCTGGAAACCTCTTCTGGCTGCAGCTGGGAATGCTACAAGCACAGCATGGCCTGGATCTTTGATACCTCACAGTGCTGGAGCTGGTAGGCATGTCCAGCAAGATGGGAGCAAAGACTATGCCTCCAGCACTAGTGCTACAGCTCAAATTGTTACTGCAATTTCCACTCTGCTCCTTCAGTGTGGTGCTAGAGGATAAGGACGGCACAGACAAGGAGCATAAGGTCTCCTTGGTGAACCCTATGACTCTCTTCAACGTGACTGAGGTTTTCCCCTTGAGAAAGAGGAGATGGTCCTACAAGCTGAAATGGGCCAAATCTGTAACACGCTATTTGCAACACTTGGCGGTTCCGCTTTTCTTCCTACATGGTGCTATGCACACAGAAAGGCCTTGAAAATCTTTGATATACAGATTTTTATTTATAATTTTTAAGTCTATTTTATAAGCCTTCTTTGTACTTAAAAATTAGCATAATGCTTTTTGTACTTTGAAGTGTTCCCCAAAATGATATAAATATGGTAGTTACTCTTTCTTTCCTTCTTCCATCTTTGCTGGTGTTATCAGTGTGACATATATCACTTTTTTCTATTTTGCTTTTTACATAAAATTTTTATTAATGAAATGTTTTGGAGAAAAAAGTCAAAAAAAGTTAAAGGGAAAATCTAAACACCTTGTTTCAATCCAACAGAATGATACAGAATTATATTTACATTTGTCCAATATTTTCCACAATTATCTTTAATTATCTTTTCTAATTAGTCCACTGGCAACCCAAATTGAAAAAATTTTACTCCAGAAAACTGGGTTTAAACTAGCTTTCCAGATACGTGATATGAGAATGTGACTTCTTTTTTCTTGTTAGAAAAACAAATTCATTTAAAATGTTTCTTAATCAGTCAAGATAATAGATTTTAAAAGATTTTTCATCACTCTATGTTTTTATATTTTGACACGGATCATGTAATGACAAGTATTTTGTTCACATTTCCCCAAAATAATGTCTTCCTTCACCCCACATTAATCATTTCATGTGAAGTCAATTTATACATATCTACCAGTTACATGAAATTAAAGTATAGATTTTTAGAAATAATTCCTCAGAAGTTGGAGGACACCTTATCAAAATACTTTTAATACCCTGAAATACAAATAGAAGAATGTTCTAGAGAATTGATAAAGCAGTAAAATGTACTAATATTGAAAGACTATACAGTATATTCAGTATATATATATATATACAGTAAATATGATTCAAAATTCAGATTGAAAATAAAATGATCTAAGTACCTCAGAATAAGTTTAACATATACTCAGGATACTTTTTAGTTCACTCTTTTCTTTCTTCAGTCTCAATGTCTTAGATTTTTTTTTTAATTTAGTTGTTCTAAAATATTTACTTATTTCCTATATTTTTTCTCTTTAAATATCCGAATAAAACTGAAAATCTTATCAGAAATGAATACACTGTATAGCAACACAGAGTTTTGGTTCAGAAAATAAAAATCTTTAGGAATTTCTTTGATGTAGTCTTTCGTTAGTCCCACGAGTGATCAAATTTTCTATAAATAAGCTCAAAACTGCCTCTCCCATGAAAATGGAACATCTGATCAAAGCAACACATTCTCCTGAAAGGCAGAGTACGTTGGACAGCTATTAAGAAAACATTGCTCACCATCATCTGCAACAAAGTCTAGACTCCTCTAAAAATTATAAGCTGCTTTCAGAGTTTGCGGGCAAAAAAATCTGTGTAATTTTGTTCTCTTTAAAAAGCAAAGTACTCTCTGGGAATGTAAACTAGTTCAACCATTGTGGAAAGCAGTATGGAGGTTCCTCAAAAAGCTCAAAATAGAAATACCATTTGACCCAGGAATTCCACTTCTAGGAATTTACCCTAAGAATGTAACAGCCCAGTTTGAAAAAGACTGATGCACCCCTATGTTTATCAAAGCACTATTTACAATAGCCAAGAAATGGAAGCAAAGTAAGTGTCCATCAGTAGATGAATGGATAAAGAAGATGTGGTACATATACACAATGGAATATTGTTCAGCCGTAAGAAGAAAACGAATCCTACCATTTGCAACAACATGGATGGAGCTAGAGGGTATTATGCTCAGTGAAATAAGCCAGGCAGAGAAAGACAAGTACCAAATGATTTCACTCATATGTGGAGTAAAGGAACAAAGAAAAAACTGAAGAAACAAAACAGCAGCAGAATCACAAAACCCAAGAATGGACTAACAGTTACCAAAGGGAAAGGAACTGGGGAGGATGGGTGGGAAGGGAGGGATAAGTGGGGAGAAAAAAGAAAGAGAGCATTACGATTAGCATGTATAATGTGGGAGGGGGGCACAGGGAGGGCTGTGCAGCACAAAGACAAGTAGTGATTCTACAGCATCTTACTACGCTGATGGACAGTGACTGTAATGGGGTTTGTGGGGGGTACTTGGTGATGGGGGGAGTCTAGTAAACATAACGTTCCTCATGTAATTGTAGATTAATGATACCAAAATAAATAAATACATCTAAGAAAAATAAAAGCAAAGTACTCTCTTAAAGGAGGGTATAGTAATTTTTTTTTAAGAAATCACACTTCATTATACTGACTACAGAAATTTGAAATATTTTGTGGGACATTTTATTCAGAACACCTGTTATGCTCCTTTCATTCACACTTACTTTTCTAAACTCAAAATGTGGCAATAAAACCAAGATAACTTTAAGTTGATTCTTATGCTTCAAGGCAATGATTTTTCCACTTATATCAATAATATTTTCAGTTTCACATTTTTGTACTACTGCCAGAGCTATGGAGTTGACTGAAAAAACATACAGGATGAAAATCAGAATAACAATTTAAAAGGAAGGAGAAAAGAAAACCTAATTGCAATCTGCTTACTAGCAATTTGGGGATTTTATACATCCTTTCTAGTTCCTGTGTTGCACAAAAAAAGATATACAGTACTTTATTACTGTCCCTAAGCAACAGAGTATCAATTCTAAAAACTCTCTGAAGCTACTTTTTTCCTTTTTTGGAAAGCAAACTTTCATAATATACTGAAAGAAATCCACAAACCTCTGAATGTTCATCTCTTTCATCTATAAGTCTTTTAAGATGCAATGCCATATTTTTTAAGAGTGGCTCTATTTCCTCCTGAGACATATCAGTCCCTTCCATCCACTGAAGATCAAACACATTCTCCTGATTATGGGTTACCTTTAGGAAAGCAAACCAATTAAACAATTAAAAAATGGCTAATACTTAAAAACTGGTTTCATTTTAGTACAATATTTGTTGAGATATATAATATTCATATTTATATAATAAAATTCATACTTATATATTAAAATATGAAAAAGATTTTTAAGAACAGAAAAGCTATGTAAGTAAAATACTTATTTCTTATTTTCCATTTCTCACCATGATTCTAATATTTTCCTTTAACTTTTATAATAAACAGAAAGAATATCATTTTCAAGAATAGTGGCAAATTTCATAACTTGCAATACTTAGCATTTATTCAAAATAAAATACAAACCACAAAGCTAGCATAAACCAACATATATGTGTATGTATATATATACATACACATATATAAACCAATACCAATAAAACTATATTTTATAGAGTACTAATATGCTTACTGTTGACAACAATATTACAGACAAGAAAGCTGTGCTCTGTGAATGTTAACTTGAGAAAAGATGATAGATGGAATACAAAGTCATTTAGATAATATTTTTAAACATTACCATTTATTTTCACCATTTAAAATTTTGCTCCTCTCCCTTTTCAGTTCTTTTTCTACTTAACATGGAAAATCTCATATGCTCTAGTTCTAAAGTCTTGTTAAGCATGCAAGATTAAAAGCCTATCACTAGATAGAAGCAGAAATGGCAGCTTTTAAAATCAATCTTAACAAATAAATTATCTTAACTTTAATTATTTGACATTGCACAGTATGTCCTACATTTAAGTTTTATATGGATACTACAAATCACTAAGGAATTTATTATTCAAGTAATATTTTCAACAAAAATTATGCTGAATACTCATTCAAAAGAAAATCACTGGAAGAACCTAATACTAAGGTTATTATCTAACCTTACCTCACTTTAGTTTTGAATTACAGGAAGTGATCCACTTTCTGCTGCTTCCATTTACTACACTACTCACTCTACGCTAACAAAGACATATACTTCATCAAATTAACACTTTGTGCCTATGTCCCTACCACAGTATATCTGTAGTTAAGCACTGTGCCATATATAAGATAATTCATTTAAGAAACTATTTCTGACAAGAAGAAAACAATATGCCTAAAAGCAGGGTTCATCAGTATTTGACCTTCATGTGTTCATGCTTATTCTTTGAGTATTTGGGGACATATTCAAATACACCACAGGCTTCATAAAAAGTACATAAAAATTGTATGCAGGTTATATTACCTCTTGAATATGTGCAGCAACTGCTGCTTTTGTGTCAAAATTTAAGCCTTGAATTTTTTCGATAAATTCTTCTTTTTTCTGACACTAAAAGAAATGAATAAAACCATCATTCACATTTAACAGGTAAAGTCCTTGATATGCTTTAACTAAAATTCATCAGGTCAGAAAGCCTGGCTATGTTTTGAACAGTACAATGAGGGTTTGTTTTACTTTGTATTTAAATGGTCTCTAATATACTTACCTAATAAAAAGATAAGAATTCAGAAATATTTATTTAAAAAGCAAGGCACTGAAAATCCATACTATTTTTATGCTGGGAAGTTCTAAAGTGGGAAACCATTACACAACCTATCTGAGGTCAATACAGTATTATTATTATGCTAACTTTACAAACAGAAGTAAAGAATCAAGAACTTGTTTCAGGGAGGGTGGGTTACTGCCAAAAAACACAGTGAGTCAGTGGCAGAATTCGGAATACAGCCAAAATGCTCAGTCTTTGGCTATCATCAAACAACACATCCTTTCTTCTTGGAAAAAAAATTTAAGCAATTTTTATTTTAAGCTTACAATTCATTCTCACATCTTCATTTTATCAATCTTAATAAAAGACCTACTTCTGAGGCCCAGTTCAACATTTATAAGGTAATACAACAAATGTTTAATTTGTTTCTACCATTACATAAAGTTACCAGGGGCAAAATTTAAGAATGCATATATAAGTTACACATATATCAAGCAGAATAAAGGCAGCATTCTTTATTTTGTAACTTTTAGAAAGCTTTGCATAAATTAAAAATATTACAATGCAAATATAATCCCTTTCTTTCCCCACATCTCTTCCACTGCAATCCAACTGCTAGTTAACTGTATTCCTGCAGTTACCAAATGAGAAGTGCATACAAGACAGCATTGCCTTGTCAAGTTTAGCTGCATCTCCTGAGCCAATTTCTGAACTACTAGTGAAGACAATATATTCAAAAAAGAAAAACTGGCTCTCTGATCAAGAAATTTAGCAAGGTTCTGATTTATACTCTACACATTACATCAAATCATAACATTCTGTTTCTATTGCCATACAATTCAGCTTAGTCAATCACATTCCCTCCCATCAGTGCAAAAAGTCCTATATCTATGGGTTACAATTATTAGGATGATATAATAATACTTAAAATTGAGTTACTGGGAATGTACATTTCCCAGCTGTGACTAGAAAGTCAGAAGTTTGGAGCAAATGGGATGAAAATTATGGATTTTTAAAACAAGAATTTTTTTTGTCCAGTAAATAATATTTGACAGGCCTAATGAAAATAATTAAGAATGACTTTCTGATAGTACATTTCTGATAGAACTAACTTTTTAGGTATGATACTCCAATTTTTAAATTTAATGCTTCCAAAAATGTTAACCTATGCATAGTTTCTAAGCCAATGAGTATATAAAATGGCATGGTTAAGACTGAATCCTTGAAGGGTCCTCCAATTCAACTGTCATATCTTTGACTTCAGTTTAAACTAAACACATATAACTTCCCTTTTCTAAGCCCAGAGCCATTGTTTCTTTACTTAAACTATCTTTAGGAGCTCAACCTCTAACACACTATCAACAGAAATCAGAATTCTTCCTTTACCCTAAAAATACCCACAATTTCTACTAAACTTCATCTTTATTCAAACTGTAAATGTTTTAAATGTTGTAAGAATTCTGAAAATGCTTTATAAATAGGTTTTCTTAAAGAATACAGAATGAAGTTTATAGGATCCTGAAGGATATAAAAAAGAAAGACTATTAAAAGATGGAAAAGAGAATGAGAGAAGATTCAAGCTCTGAAGTTAAATCATCAGACCACATGTTTTATACCAGTGTTGTCACATACTGTAATTACTAGCTACATGTGGCTACTGAGTTTTAAAATGTAGCTAGTGCTACATTTCTGAGAAATTGAATTTTAATTTTATTCAAATGTGGATAATTTTAATTTAAATAGCTACATGTTCAGTGGCTATTGTACAAACAAGCCTAGCTCAAGAGCATAAAAAAGTCTGGTGTTAAAAAAAGGCATAAAAGTAGTTTCACTTTCAGCTATAAAGACTCTGGTGAAGACTGAATAATCATCAGCACATTTTTTTCATTTAAAAGTAATCTTGGGAGCCAAGATGGTGGTGTGAGTAGAGCAGTGGAAATCTCCTCCCAAAACCATATATATTTTTGAAAATACAACAAATACAACTATTCCTAAAAGAGAGACCAGAAGATACAGGACAATAGCCAGGCTACATCTACACCTGCGAGAACCCAGCGTCTCGCAAAGGGGGTAAGATACAAGCTGCAGCCCAGTGGGACCCAAGCGCCCCTCACACCAGCTCCAAGTGGGAGGAGAGGAGTCGGAGCGGGGAGGAAGAGGGAGCCCAGGACTGCTAAATACCCAGCCCTAGCCATCCGCACCAAGAGAGCAGACACATAGTGCATGGAGTGCTAGAACCTATGGAACCGGGACAGAAAGACCTGTGAGGGGGTCCTCACAGCCAGTGCCCCTGGGACAAAAGAAAAGCAAGTGCCCTTTGAAAATCTTAAAGGGACAGGGGCCTCACGGCTGGACGGAAGCACCCCGGCACAATCAGCTCAGTAACTGGGAATCCTGGGGAACACCAGGCGCCCCCAACCCCCTCGGTGGCAGTGCAGCTCGGAGGCCACTCATGGTGATAAACAGCCTCCCATCCGTTCCCCCTCTGGCGTGACTCTGCCAGAGCGGCAGTAGCCATGCCCACAGCAACTGGGCAGATCTTCTTCCACAGTGCTGGGCAAGAAACAGACACACCATCTGCGCGCAGCTGCCCAGCACAAGACGCTAGGGGTTGCTGTTCTCCCAGGAGAGGAAGGCTACAACTAGCAAGAAGGTACGTTCGACACATGCATCAGCTCCCCACAAATACCTCTATCACCATGAAAAGACAGAAGAATTTGATCCAGACCAAAATCACAGAGTCAACCCCTGAGGAGATAGACCTAACCAATCTTCCTGAAAAAAATTCAAAATAAAGGTCATAACCATGCTGATACATCATCAGAGAAATATGCAAGAGCTAAGGGATGAAGTCTGGAAGGAGATTACAGAAATGAAACAATCTCTGGAAGGACTTAAGAGCAGACTGGATGAGGTGCAAGAGGCTGTTAATGGATTAGAAATCAGAGAACAGGAACACAGAGAAACTGACACAGAGAGAGAAAAGGATCTCCAGGAATTAAACAGTATTAAGAGAACTGTGTGACCAATCCAAAAGGAACAATATTCTCATTATAGGGGTACCACAAGAAGAAGAGAGAGAAAAAGGGATAGAAAGTGTATTTGAAGAAATAATTGGTGAAAAC